GCCCGCTCCGCATCCCCCCGTGCCCGGCATCGCGCGTGGGAGCCCGAGCGCGGGCGGCTGCGGCGGGACCGCGCGGGACCGGACCGGGCGGGCCGTCCCGCCGCCAGGGGCCCGGCCCCGCCGGGGGTCCCGAAGGGCCGGACCGGGCCGAGCGTCCCGAAGGGCCGGCGCTGCAAACGCCTCCTGCAAACAGCCCCTGTCCCCCCAGCAGCTGCGGATCCCGGTGTCCCCACGGACACGGAGCCTCCTGCGGGGTCCACATGGACACGGAGCCTCCCGTGGGGTCCGCACGGGCACAGAGCATCCCACAGTGTCCGCATCGACACGGAGTTTCCCGCAGTGTCCACATGGACACGGAGCATCCCACAGTGTCCGCATGGACATGGAGTTTCCCGCAGTGTCCGCATGGACACGGAGCTTCCCGCAGTGTCCRCATGGACACGGAGCTTCCCGCAGTGTCCGCAAGGACACGGAGCCTCCCGAGGTATCCGCACGGACACGGAGCATCCCACGGCGCTTCGGGATGCGCCCACGAGGCGCCCGCGGCTCCGGAGCGCATGCGGGGACCAGAGTCATTTGTTTCTTTGGCTCCGTTTTGAAGCGTTTTTCAAGCTGTCACCGCTTGGCAGGTCTGTAGCTGCAGTGTCAAGATTTCGAATTATTCTGTCGGTAATTGCTTTCTGATTCATCAAAATGATGGATGAGAGGGAAAATGACAAATAATCACAAGTTGGGGATCTTCAAGGATATCCCTAAAAATGCAACTGGAAAAATGCGGTGTGTGAGTTCCCTTGTCAGGAGGTCACCTTCGCTGTCAGGGCATTTAGAAAGAAATTCTCTTCCATTCAAAGCCAGGGAAACGTGGAGAACTGGGAAACTGCTCCATGAACGGCATGGCAAAGGTGTCTTCAGGTAATTCCATCTTTGGCCTTTTTCACTGAACCCGAAACCAAGTATTTTCCCCTTAGATRACTGTCCATTCCAAGAGTGCTAAAAGCCAAATGCCGCTTCTGTGCTGAGCACACTTACCCGAGGCAGGGGGATGTGCTCTCACACTTGTTTTTTTCCCCCAGCTCCATCACTCTAATCAAAGCTATTACTGCTCTCCTACTCATACCCGCAGCCCAGCACGGCTGCGTGCGCTCCCCTGCTTGTCTCGTTCCCTTAGCTACATTTGCAGAGACTCCTTCTTGCCACAAGTCCCCGCGCCTGGAGCAGCGCGGTGGGAGTTGTGTGGTTRCATCTCTTCCATCTTGCTTATCTCCCTCAGACGTTGGAGGTAGGTGACTCACCACAGCTCCAGCTGATGCCTCTCGGTGACTTCTCGTTGAACGCAGCGTGCGGGGCAGAAGATGCCCCGCGCCGTCGCAGGGGACTTGGCGACACCGGCATGGATTAAGAAACTACAGGGCTGCGAGGCAGCTGCTTGGTGCTCCTTGCTCCCGTTGGAGTGGCCGAGGTTTGGGACTGGCTGCAGACACAGTGACCCGGGTGGGCTTGGGTGTCCCGGGCACTGGTCACCCGGGGGTCTCTCCCAATTTTCTGCCTGCCCAGATGGAGTCATCTCAGGGTGACAGTTCTCGGCAGTCGGGCACGAAGGTTCCCGCTCATCCCTCAAGGCAGAGGGCAAAGGATAAGGAATGGGGAAGGTGAAGGAAGGCTATTCCAGCAAGGGCTGCGCCGGCTCAGCTAGCACAGAACRACCTCGCTCCGCGGGAGCCAGCGCTTCTCCGCAGGCCGTGCCTGGTTTTATCTCCCCTTTCCAAACAGACAGACGTTTGTGGACTCTGCAGCGACCGCTGCAATCGCTTACGACGCCGTGCGTGCAGTGTGTACCATATTGTGTGCAGTTTGTACCATATTCCATCTTCACCGTGCTCAGCAGACCCCTGGTACAAATGGTTTGTCACCAGGATAATCATCTGCTTTTTCCTGAGGCATGAGTGTGCATCTCTTTGCAGGGAAGGGAGGCCAGGGGAGTTTTCGAAGGCTGCGGAGAGGCTTGGGCGGGATAGGTATATTCCTGTTTTACCTTGCTGCCTCCTGTAGATGGGGAGTGTGCTGCTGGCTTAGTGCTAGCTGCATCTGGAAGTTCTTGCCCGTTAGCGTTTTTACACCCCGCTGCTGTTTGCCTGCAGTTCTGTGGTGTTGGGGCGGGAGACTGGGCCTGTGTTGGGTGACGTCGGGACCCAGTGGCACCGTCTCTTAGGTTCTTGCTGTAGCTCTCAGCAGGGGTTTGAGCCATCTCAAGGAGGCAGAAGGGGCCTGCAGAAGGCCCGGGTTGGGAATGCCCAACRCGGCGGCGTTCCCGACTCCGCGGCACCTGCTCCGTGTTGCAGCCCTCCGTGGAGCTGCTGTGGTGGGAGCGGAATGGCATCCTCCGAGACACGCACCTTTGCCCCGGGTTTGGATGCCTTTGGATGCCTCCAGCAGCTGCCAAGGGCTCGTTCTGCTGTGGTGTCTTGTTGCTGCTTATGAATTTCAGCTCGTTTCGCTGCCACATCCTGGTTTGTTCTGCGTTGGGGTAGTGAAAAGCTGGGACAGAGGAGGGGAAACGGGTCTGTGACGCAGGGCGGGAGACCTGATGGGAAATGAAGGTTTGGATGAGCGCTAACAGCAGAGGGGGAGAGGAGGTTGTCTCCTTGCTTTGGAGCAAGGGCACTCMGAGTGGCCCCTGTCTACGCTGCCGTTCCCCCCAAACCCCTTGCTAATGATCTGCTCTAATAAAGTAACCTTAACTAGACTGGGGTGACCCGTGCCTGTGGCTCCCGGTAACACTAAATCCACCACACTTCATAATAAGCTTCTAGTGCCTGGAGTATTTTGCCTAAAAATAGTAAAAAAAAAAAGAAAAAAGGATGACTGCTAGGGGGAATCTAAACCAGAAGGAAACAAATGGATTTTAATTTTTCCCTCTGTTTCAGAGTGAATGATGCCGAGGAAGAAGAAACCCACGGAGGGCCTTGACTCTCGAGGTCAGGATGGGGAGGAAGAGGAGGAAGAGAAGAGGGCCCTGGTCAACGCCAAGAAGAAGCGCAGTTTTGTGGAGGCGTTTATCGTTATATCTGACAGCGACGGAGAGGTCAGTGGTGCCAAGGGGGAGTCCCGAGCCTGCTTGGGCCCTGCTGCCCCAGGAGGGTGTCTGAGCACCCCACGCTGCCCGTGCTGGGTCAGCCTTTGCTCTGCGGGTTTCGTGCTGCTCCTCTTATAGAGGAGATGAATCAAATCCTATTTGACTAGGAAATGAATGGTGCGCTTGGTGAGGGTGAGTTATGAGTCTGGGATTTGATAACCAAATCCTCTCAGTGCTGAATTTGAAACGTAATTTAAAAGTAACCTTTCCTCAATCCCTTTACAAATCTTTTTTTTTTTTTTCGTAATTTTTATTTGATTGATTTCCAGCTAAACCACAGAAACATGATTCTGTATTATGTGCAAATAGATAAGAAAATGATTCAGAACACAGGCTAGCAAGCAGTTCAGAACACAGCTGGTGTCTGATAAATTGATCCTGCATTATGGAGATCTGAGTTTTAAATGCACTTCCATAAGATGTAAAGGTGAACTGCAGTGCCAGTTCCCTTGGCCAAGACCTATGGGCCCAGATCATTTATTCCCAGCATTATGTTATGTCAGCTTTACTCTAAAAGATTGAAATGCCTGTAGCTGTTCACTGGCCTTGAGGTGCTAATTTTTAGGGAAAATCCRGAGCCCTGAGAATGTGGCTTCAACTCAAGTGATGTACATGAGAGGAAATTATTAGAATCAGTTCTTTATGTATGGCTGTTAAGGCTTTGCTGTTTTGCCTGTGATTTGAGATCCTAAGCTGCTTTTTATAATTCCACCATTTTCAAAAGCATTTC